AGAGACACAGGGAGGGAGAAGAGGCAGGAGAAGAGACACAGAGGGAGAAGAGACACAGAGGGAGAAGAGGGGAGAAGAGCCGGAGAAGAGACACAGAGGGAGAAGAGCCGGAGAAGAGACACAGAGGGAGAAGAGGCACAGAGGGAGAAGAGGCACAGAGGGAGAAGAGGCACAGAGGGAGAAGAGGGAGAAGAGACACAGAGGGAGAAGAGCCGAGAAGAGACAGAAGAAGAGCCGAGAAGAAGAGAAGAGACACAGGGAGAAGAGCACAGGAGAAGAGACACAGAGGGAGAAGAGACACAGGGAGAAGGGCCGAGAAGAGACAGAGGGAGAAGAGCAGAGGGAGAAGAAGAGACACAGAGGGAGAAGAGAGAAGAGCCGAGAAGAGACCAGAGGGGAGAAGAGAGACACAGGAGGGAGACAGAGGACAGAGGGAGAAGAGGCACAGAGGGAGAAGAGGCACAGAGGGAGAAGAGGCACAGAGGGAGAAGAGCCGGAGAAGAAGGGGAGAGGAACAGAGGGAGAAGAAGACAGAGCCGGAAGAGAAGAGGAAGAGACAGAGGGGGAGAAGAGACACAGGGAAGAAGAGCCGGAGAAGAGACACAGAGGGGAGAAGAGACACAGGGAGAGAAGAGCACAGAGGGAGAGAAGAGACACAGAGGGACAGAAGGGAGAAGAGACACAGAGGGAGAGGGAGAGACAGAGGAAGAGAGAAGAGACACAGAGGGAGAAGAAGAGCTGGGAGAGAAGAGACACAGAGGGGAGAAGAGGCACAGGGAGAGCCGGAGAAGAGACACAGAGGAAGAGGCACAGAAGAAGAGCCGGAGAAGAGGAGAAGAGGAGAAGGCACAGAGGAGAAGAGACACAGGGAGAAGAGCCGGAGAAGAGACACAGAGGGAGAAGAGACACAGGGAGAAGAGAAGAGACGGAGAAGAGGACAGAGGGAGAAGAGCCGAGAAGAGAGAGGAGACAGAGGGAGAAGAGGGAGAAGAGACAGAGGGAGACACAGGGAGAAGAGACACAGAGGGAGAAGAGACAGGGAGAAGAGACACAGAGGGAGAGAGACACAGAGACACAGAGGGAGAAGAGCCGGAGAAGAGACACAGAGGGAGAAGAGAGACACAGAAGGAGAAGAGAGAAGAGACACAGAGGGAAGAGAGAAGAGACACAGAGGGAGAAGAGACACAGAGGGAGAAGACACAGAGGGGAAGAAGAGGGAGGAGCCACAGAAGAGAGAGAGAAGAGACACAGAGGGAGAAGAGGCACAGAGGAGAAGAGACAGAGAGGCACAGAGGGAGAAGAGCCGGAGAAGAGGCACAGAGAAGGAGAAGAGAGGCACAGGGGAGAAGAGCCGGAGAAGAGACACAGAGGTAGAAGAGACACAGAGGGAGAGAAGAGGGGAGAAGAGCAGACAGAGACACAGAGGGAGAAGAGACACAGAGGGGAGAAGAGCCGGAGAAGAGAGAGACACAGAGGGAGAAGAGCACAGAGAAGAAGAAGAGACACAGAGGAGGGAGAAGAGGAGAAGAGACACAGAGGGGAGAGAAGAGGACAGAGAGAAGAGCCGAGAAGAGAGAGCACAGAAGAGGAGGGGAGAAGAGAAAGAGGCGGAGAAGAGGCACAGGGAGAAGAGGCCAGGAGGGAAGAGGAAGAGGCACAGAGGGAGAAGAGACAGGGAGAAGAGACACAGAGGGAGAAGAGACAGAAGAAGAACACAGAGGGAGAAGAGACAAGAGACAGAGGAGGAGAAGAAGAGACACAGAGGAGAGAAGAGACACAAGAGGGAGAAAGAGGGGGAGAAGAGCTGAGAAGAGACACAGAGAAGAGACACAGAAGAGCCGGAGAAGAGGCACAGAGGAGAAGAGAAGAGAGACACAGGGGAGAAGAGACACAGAGGGAGAAGAGCCGGAGAAGAGACACAGAGGGAGAAGAGCCGGAGAAGAGACGGAGAAGAGAGACAGACAGAGGGAGAAGAGCACGGAGAAGAGCCACAGGGAGGGAGAAGAAAAGAGGGAAGAGACACAGGAATCAGAAAGTGAGAGAAAGAGAGAGACAGGGAGATGGATGAACCAGAGAAACCATTTTAAATTTGGATTATTGTGAGACAATTTTGAACTTAAAAGCCTTTTTTTTAAAGTAAATTTTATACAACTGTTCAAAAATGTGACAGTTTGTGTGTGTGTGTGTGTGTGTGTGTGTGTATGTATGTATGTATGTATGTATGTGTGTGTGTGTGTTTTCTCTCAGTCATAATTCATTGACTGAAGAAATTTGTTTTTAAAAGTTTCAAAGAATACAATGTTTTAACCTTTTCTTCCAGGCAAAAAGGTCACTTAGCTTTAGTCACAATAGACTATAAATCTATAACTTCACAGTACAGTCAATTCCTTAACTTTGATCTGTCTGATCAAAAGTTGTACATATCAAAAGTTGTACATATCAAAAGAAAAATAAAAGTGAAAGGAAGCAGAGTGGTAGAAACACATTAATGATACATGTTCACTGCTTATAATTTCGGAGTCTCCTTCAACAATACAACACACACATATGAATGGCATTCAACACAAGCTTGATTTATCCATTCAGGCAAGGACTTGCACTAAAAACATATATATATATAAATAAACAGTTTTTGCAACAATGTCATTTGGTCTTCACTTAAGACAATGTAGGCTTCATAATGTTCTTAGGGAATGAAGGTTTGGTTTTTGTTTAGCAGCATATCAACATTGCTATGGGTTATATAATGCTGAAATCAAAAGTTTTTTCTACATAATTTTGTCAACTAAAACTTTATTGAAAAAGTATATTGTATATTATAAAATTCTTGAAAAAAGAAAAAAAAAAATGAGGTTTTGATTGAACTAGAAAAACTTTAATGATTTTTCTAATTAAAAAAATAAAAAGGTCTGTATTATTTATAGTCCTTTTGGATTGTGGGTATTAACAGGTTAAATTACAAAGATCTATGAAGGAATTTCTATAAACCTTGTAATCAATAAGAATATTATCCACTAAACAAATTTCAAGCATCTAAGCCAAGAAATCATGAATTTTGAATCCTGATTAATAAATGCCAAACATTACTTTTAACCCACTGACCACTAAAGTATATATAGTTCCCAGTTTATCAGCAAGCATTATGATATTCAAACATTAAAGTACATTACCTGTATAACTGGTTAGGATTTATTTTCTTACATTCCTAAAACATGTAAACTAATAATGTGAATATATCAATATTCAATGATCTTTGTAAATGACAATAAAAAAAATTCTGAACCCAATAATCATCTAACAACTCTAAAAACAAAGATAACTATGGCATAATATTCTAAACTAAAAACTATATATTTTTATAAAATCTGATTTCCTTGAAGGCTTCATTGAGAAACAGAGTAAAATATACTGTAGCAAATGAATACAATTCTAGAGTACAATGACTATAGATATTTTAAACAAGCAAAAAGTATGCTAAATCAATAAATAAGCACTGTTACACCAAAGAGAATTGTTGACCATTTTCTTTGATAACTAATATTCAAAGTAATGTCCTGTGAATTATCTGAATAGACAGTTCAACTCTGGAGTCTCATCATAAAACATTTGTTAATTTGACAACTATATGCCATGCAACACCATAATCGAGCTACATTTTCTAAAGGGTGATTTTTTATGCTATCAGATCAGTCAGGTTTTGTAATGAATTGGAACAAAATGGTAAATAGCTTTCACATTGCAATGCTAATTTAACAATAACAGATTAATGATTAGTTCAACCCAAGAGAATGTAATGGCAGGTTATAAAACCTTGACTCAAGTTTCCTAAGGTTGAACCAAAATTGCTTTATCTGTCATATATTAAAATAAAAATAATAAAGTTTAAATAAAAGAAAATTACACATTTGGCTGAATTGACTAATAAAACTATTTAATATATATTTTTATGTGTCCTTAAAACTAATATCTTAATTCTATAGAAATAATTGGAATTTCTCTCTTTATTTTTAAGAAACCATAATATTTTCCACAGAATAATTAAGAACTTTTTAAAGTGTTTTTCACCGACACAAACAATATATATATATTGTATACTGTTACATTAGAACATGTAAGTAATTAGTTACATGTTTTAATGTAACAGTGTATTATAAATATTTATTGCGCTACTCTTGTATTGAGCCCTGTTTTAAATTAATGTTTTGAAACGTAATTTTATTCTTTGTTCTCTTACATTTGGTTATATATATATATATATATATATATATATATATATATATATATATATATATATATGTGTGTGTGTGTGTTTAGGCAGCAATCCCACTTTTATACAAGTTTCATTAAAGACAACCCACAAGGTGATGCAATTAATTTTTTTTTTATTCAATTTTTCCTGTGTTCATATAAGTGTTTTATTTTCAAGACAAAGTGTGTAAAAACTGTTCAAATGTGATATATATCCAAGTGCTTTTGCTTCATTATCAAGAATGTTTTTTTCTATTCTTAACTAAATGTGTAGATTTTTATATGTGTGTCTATAATGGGGTCCCCCCCCTCAAACACAGTCAGCAAATGTTGGCCATGTTCATATTTGATATCATTGAGTGTTTTTTTTATTATTATTAATGCTTCCATTATTTTTAGCCATTTTTACATGTGAACAAAAAAGTTTTTCAAAACTCCCTTCATTTAGACATCAGCTTCATCAATAATTAATTTGACAGATTCATTTTCCATGGATCATCAACAGTTTGCAGGTTATTTAAAGCCAGAAAATATTTTTTGATTGTAAGAATTTTTTTGATATAATTAGTAATGGATTTAGTGATACAATTTTTACTAATTAACCCATAGCTGGGAGGAGAAAAGGTGGATTCATACATTTCAGAAGGGTATTTGCATGCAAGTGAATATAGCAAACACAACTGGAATTGAAACTCAGCTCTCTGATTAACATTTCCAAGCCATTATACATTGCACCACCTGCACATCTAATCTTACAGCGTCTGGTATTCCCAAGCAGTCACCCATCTAGGTACTGACCAGGCTTGACATTACTTAACTTCAGTGATTGTATGAAAACCAGTGTTTCAATGCTGTATGACTGTAAGCCATCAATAATTAAGATTTATTCTCCATGTTATAATACAGAGAAGCAAAATTGTTCCTTAAGTAGTCATATCAAAATCGGTTTGTAGTAATCCATTAATTAGTAGCATCATCTGTAAAGGATTCAGAAATTATAGTTTTATATTTATTTCAGTGTAGATTAGATGTACATGGCAACAGACAGAAAGATAAATGATCTCAAATTAGTTCATAGTTAAAATGATCACAGATTTGAATTTCCTACTGACACCTTCTCCCCACCATATCTTTAAACTATAATTTTGGAAAGTGAAAATCTCATTTGAATATGTTGGAAAATTTCCAAGTTTTTATTTCTTAATAAGGTGGTCAAGGGGACTTTCCAAGAAAAAAATTGACTAGAGCCCTACACAGATATATTTAAAAAAAAAAAAAAAAAAAAAAATTAGATGAAAGGGAAGGAATTTCAACAAATGTTACAAGTTTATTTCAATTTTGCAACATCATATGTATATATACACACAACATAATATTTCATTTTAAAACAGCAATACTTAAATAGACTGGTCCCCTTGTAGCAGGCCGTGAGTTTACGTGTTGTTAAATTAGAGACATGTGTGCAACTCTCAATAGAATATTAAAAGGTCCACTACAAGAATATGGCGGACACAACTTGAGTCCAACCAAAGATGTAAAGAAAACAAACAAGACCTATATATATATATATATATATATATATATATATATATATATATATATATAATATATATATAAAAACAAGTATATGCATTAAACAAAAAATTTACAATGGACAAAGATATCAACATTTGTGTTTGTGCGTGAACGTAAAGAGTTCATATTTTGATGAATGTGTGTGTGTGTGCACACGTTTCAAGGCATTTCCCACAAGTGGGCAAAACACAGATCTCTGCAAGAGATCACATTTTTTAAATGTGTCTGCTGAAATGCAAAGTAAAAAGAGAACAAGACAAGAACTCTCCCAGTATTTTTAGTGTGGGGAGAGCATCCCCTAGTGAACCATTAGGAAATTAAGGAGGAGTTAATTCCAACCAATCCACAAAGGAAAAAACTACATGTATATCAAAAAGTCAAGGATCAGTTTACCATTGTATTTATATTGTAAACAGGCCCTCCCCATCTAAAAAATTAGAAAATGTTTTTCAATTCTGACAAATTGCTTGAGTAGAGGAAGTTCTTCTGAGTACTAGGCAGCAAAAATTAGTCATGAAAATATTTTTATCTATAAGAAATTACTAACTAATATTCATGTCAAAAAGTAAAGGATCCTTTTACTGTACATGTCTTTTTATTTCAACAGTTATTTTTATTTTATGCTGATAAAGAATACAACAATCTCGTTCTTCCCAAACATATTCTAGGCTAATAATGTTGTAATGTTTGATTTCTTTTTTGAAAATGTTCCACTACAATGCGTCATTGCTAATAAATCTAGACATCATAATCTATGTCATTTGTCAATAAAAATATTTGATTTTTAAAATTAAGGCTTTTTGTTTATTTTTTATCAATTTTTAAAAAATTTTATGTTAATATTACTTTTTACAAATAATAAACAAATTTTGCAAATTCGAAAAAAAATTGTCCCGCTGCCCTCATTTTTAAGGGGTCCACCAAGGCAATTTTTGCCTGCCCCTATCTTAGGCTAAACGTTTTATATATATATATATATATATATAAACCTAGAGAGCCAGACAAACCTACCAAGGTTTCACCTAAGTGGATCGTCAGAGAAGGCTGATCTGCTCTACTCACTGTATTGAGCACTTTATTTAGTAGTTTTGCGTACTCGCATTGGGTTTTTTTTCCTTTGGGCGTTGGACTTGCATGCCGGACGATTATTTTCGGCTAATGTACATGTTCTTGGTTCTTTCTTTTTTTATGCCTCTTTTTCCCCTTTGGTATTGGCTTGTTTATTTGCAAATTAAGACACTGAAGGTTTTCCAAGCGAGTATAGTTCCTTATATTTATTTCTATTAATAATATATATATATATAAGGCAAAATTCGAAGACACTACAAAGTGCTCAATGCAGATATATGAAATATACACAAATACAGAGCAAATATAAAATATATAAGAAAAAAAAAATAGTACTTATATTTTACTGTTATCTACAACTAAAAATTTTATGGGAACAGAGTTGATAATGGGTTGGGTTGGTTTGGTTTCTTTTGTTTTACAGCATATCAACCTCAATGGATTATTTAACACAGACAAAAAATTTTATTGCTGGTAATATTTTTTCTTCAAAAATCTATTTCTGAGAATATTTTTCCTTCAAGAAATCTATAGCTGGTAATTTTCTTTTAAATGTAAAGCTGTTTGTATTGCCGATAATAATTTTTCCTTCAAAAATTATTGTTGGTATTTTTTTTTACTAAGTATTTCTGGTATTAAAACCTATTTTTACATAAGTTTGGGTGTTAAATATTTGCCCATAGCTGGGACCTTAACAGGTGCTACCACCCTGGGTTAGGGTGGATCTGGGAACACCAGCAATTAAGAGGTGGTTCCACACTCCTCAAAACCTCCTGATCAGAGGGCCTGCTGTTGGACGTAGTTTATCGTCTTACCCTGGACGTGGATGTAGTTTATCATCATACCCAGGACGAGAGTTGATAATGTTACAGTCACACATACATCAAGTGAAGAAAGTGGTGATAAGATACTCATTTATTTTTGAATGGGCATCTTATTGCTTTTTTCTCTGCCCTTTTGACCAACTCTACATCCACATGAAACTTCTAGTTGTGGATAACAGTAAAATACAAGTACTATATATGTGTGTGTCTGTGTGAGAAATGATTGCTCAGTATTTAAGAGTATTAGAGTATTTATAAATATAAACAGTGTGAACATGATCAACACTGTATGCTATCTTGGTTTGAAAATCATATACAGTGTTAATTTCTATGTCCACACTGTGTGTGAGAGAGAGAGTTTTTTTTTTTTCCCTACATGCATTTCATTGAATTACTTTATTTCTCTCTTCAATCAAAGATTTTCTATACTCTGAGTAATTCTAAATCTTATATGTTAGGAAATCAAAACACACAAGATTCCGACTGATCAAGAATTAGAAGTACAAGCTAAATGTTCTCTCTCAATTTTAAACCCAACTGAAATTGGTTGCCTTTACTTGCATATAAATCAAGATTATATAAACAGGTAATTGCTTGACAGAGAGCTTAACTGCTTTAAATACTTTAATCATAAAATTCATTTTATTCAGTTTGTTTATACATATAACATATCTACATAAATAAAAAGCAAGACACTAACAATGGATTTAGTCTGATGCTATTAAATTTTAAAACTTCAAGGACAATATTTCCAACTAAATTCAACCATTTATATAATAAATGCAAATGTCAATGTGTCACACTTTTTCAACTTTACTCCTAGAGGCTGTAGCCTACCATTTTGGAATCAGGCCAACTCCATGAGCAAATTAAAAATATTCTGGGCCAGATCCGGACCTGCAATCCTGAAATTTTGGATTCTCAAGTTTTCATTACTGTGATCTCAGTGATTTTTTTACGTGATTTTTTATGACAATTTTTTTTTACGATAATTTTCATAACTTGGAAATAAATTTGGGAATAATTGAAATTAATTGCAAAATCCAACAAAAGTCAGCCGTGAAATAAATTTAACTGTATGGAAAGTAAGGACCTATGTACACCAAACTGTCTTTAAATTAAGTGGCAGTAGAAGAATTATCATTGAACTTTTAAAAAGGTAATTTTAAATATTAATGCAATACTTAAATGCAGTGAGCAATTTTAAGTCCTTCTGCAGTTTATTGTTGCCTATTGCATCTACTCCTTACCTATTGTGATTAAGGCCCAATTAAGGACCCTCCACAGGAGTTAGGTTAAATGCCACTTGATAGGGTGGCTTTTAACCTAGTATGTATGTATATATATATATATATATATATATATATTTTGGAATTGTTTTTGGAGTTGATATATTTCATCAATATTCTTGACTAAGAGAAGGATATCATCAACATGTCAATTCCAAAATAATTGTCCTTAAATTTTCATATGAACTTAATATTAGTAATAAAATTCTTTTTCTAGATATAGATAAACACTAACAATAATAAATTCACTATCTCCCCATATAAAAAAAAAACCTACCAGCATAAATTTGTTCACTCTTAACTATAAGAGTGAATGTCCAAATTACTATAAAATATGAATTATAAAAAAAAAAACTAATAAATTGTGCAAATATTATCTCATCCACAAAACAGATTTTCTACAAACTCTTATTAATAACCTCCCTAATTATACTGTTGATTGACAAATAAGGTTCTATTAAAAATTTTAATATAAAGCAAATAGAATATAATCCTTCTTCAAATAATCCTAAACATATTAATCTTTTATGTAGCAATCAAATACATTCTAATTATAAACAGAAAAAAATATCCTTTAAAAAAAATATATAATATATCCACCACACAGATCCTAGTTAAAAAATTACCATATTTGATGGTATATAAGATGCAACACAATTTCAGGTTAGGGCAAATCAAGAAAAAAATTATTAATTAGCAAAATTATTAGTAAATGATACTACCTATTTATGAGGTACTATTTTGGTTAAACAAACCATGATTACAATTAAACAAAAAATAATAGGAAAAAAGAACACAAGCCTATAAAAACTTTATTATATCCAAAGGTAAGAAAACAAAATAAAAATCAAGCAATTATTACAATTGAGCAAAACAGTAGAGTTACCATTAAAATTTTATTTATCATCAAATCCATAAAATTCATTGGCTTTGTTATCAAAACTCTGATACTCATTTTCAATATTACTATCATCGTCATTAAATAATGTGTTATCTTCCGTTCCATTGAGAGCATTGCTAATGCCCCACTTTTTAAAAATTTTTTTACAATTTCTGGTCTAATATTATCCCAAGCTTGCATCACCCACTCACAGACTTGTGCGTGCAA